TCAATATAAAACTCACATGGAATCCACCCCATGTGAGTTTTCTGGATTTATTCTATAGGGAAAATTATGTACAAACAGATTTTTCCTTAAACCAGTAACATTGAGTGAACCAATTTTCCATCTAATTTGTCGTTAGTGAAGTCCAATCGTTCTGGCCATTTGTCAATTTTATATTGTGAAGAAAGTTCCTCATTTTTTATTTATTTATTTGTCTTTTTTGATAAAGCACCATCATAGTCTCGATATCTTTTAAGGCTCTGCCAAGCAAAAATTGATTATGGCCATATGTGAAGATAGCAATTTATATCAAAATTGATTATGGTTTTCTTGTTAATTGTATGGCACACTACATCAAGCAAAAATTTAGATGTAGAATCTATGATAGATTAATTTTATACTATAAAATCTTGTCCGGGAAAACTATAATAGTAAATATACGAACATTAACTTTTAAAAAATTTGTCTCATGCAACGTAAATTCCCAACTTCGCTTGGAAAGCAAGTAATATTGAAATTGACATAACATTTGATTTGGGACCATCTTTGTCAATAGTTATAAAAAAATAAAAAGATGAAATTCTAGTAATTTTATTCATATCAATACTAAACATGAGGTACAAATGAAGTAAAGAGAATCCTTCGCCAAACATAATCCAAAGCACTAGAAATAATTAACAAGTAGTCGAGCCTATAGATGTTACACATTCGTGGTTGGAGCTTAATTAGTTAAGCAAAAACCAGTGTCATAAACAATTCCAGACTTCCAATCATTAGGAATGGCGCTAGCTAATTGCACCCACTTCACTTCAGTGTTGCCCTCGACCACCACCGAAAGTCTGAAGTTGAGAGGGCCTAGTGGTGGGTTCTGAAGGTCGAATAATGTTCCATAGGCTCTTCAAATTGGCCTCTATTACTTGTAATCCTCCTAACAACATCAATGACCAAGTTACCGTTTTAAAAAGTAAAATTTTATTTAAAAACCATATTTTGATAAGTAAAAAAGAACAGTTTATTTGACTTAAGAGTATATATTAGCCATACTTAAATAGTGATGATATCATACATTACCTCCTTGTACAATGGAACTATGGCCAAGTACAGAGGCAGTCAAATAGTACTCAACAGTATTGACGGAAAAAAGAAGTAAAATCTTGTTAACGATAGAGTCTAGTACTATTGAATACCAAACGTGCATTATATGGATCCATGCTCCTATGCGTATTTTGGAGAGACATTTTCTGCCCCTTGAGGTAAATCATCAATAGGTTGACTTGAAGTATAATTACTTGATGTATCCACCTCAATTTTCCTTTCAATTGGGCTAGCCTTTTTCCTTTGCCTTAGAGGTAAGCCCTCTGGCTATGTCCCTCCTCATCTTGTTGAAAAACATTTTGCTAAGGCATTTGATGCCAGCCTGTACCTACATTAGCTTAAGTAATTATTGCACGTCAGTATTTTGTTAGGCAATATTTCTCATGTTGGCAGCCATTTCTTCAAGATATCTTGCAAGGCATGCAGTAATGCCACCTCCTTAATGGTGTTGGTGGTGGGGTCTACAAATATTTTCATTGGTTCGAAGGACTTCTTCTTCATGGTATACTAACGATTTGTGTATCAACACTTCAAATAGCACCGTCACTTGTCCTTTCTTCAAGAACAGATACCTTTCTTCAAGGGTGGAGTTTGACACACTAGTGTGTTTCCCACAAATGATGTCAATCTTTGACCTCAAATTTTGTACCTCCAACATAGTCAACAGATATCAAGGCTTCCCATGTCCATGCAAGTCTGATTTCTACACACTTCGACAAACCATTAATCATACGTTGCCTTCTCCCCTGGTAGTGAAATTGGCCATGCACACTCCAACGGCCAAGCAATTGAAGTAGTGTATATGGGTATAGAAGGTGCTTTAGACACGAGTCTCTAATATAAAAAGGGGGTCAGTTTTGGAAAAAATTGTGATAATAACAATAAATATAGCAAATTGTGATTGAGAGTTTAAACATGCATCACCTTTGGAATGAGACATTGTGTGAGCTTTTATAGCAAAATATGATCGATATCGGCCATAGGATTAAAGTGTACATGGCCTCATCCATACGGCTAAAGCTTCTCGTCAAAAGCATCAATCAATCATAGGCATTTAATGCTAATACTATTTTGTTGCCCATCAATAGGCTTAAACTTGACTTCATTGGCTAGATATAGTGGCAATAGCAGTGACTTGTCACATCAATCATGTACTAGGGATTGTATAGAAGATCTCTTACTACGCCCCCTTGAAGCCTCGCCCTCATGAGGTTTTGATTCTTCATATGGGCTAACTCAGTCAAATGGGCTCGATATCCCATATAGGTTTGGCCTCTTCACGGGGTTTGACCAAACTGTCTGTTAGGTAGAGTGACATGAATGCGGGTCCAAGTTCGCTTCCATGTAGGAGGCAAGGCGTAACACCTACGTTAAATTATTTGAAAAAGGAAAGGTTAATATAAAAACATAATATCGGTAAGTTAAATTTATCTTTTAACCTACTCGCTAAAACTTAGAATAATTACGTTACTAGCTAGTGACAGTTTTAAAAAGGAGCAGTGGGGTCACTATGATTTTAAAATTTTAATTTTGTGTAAGGAAAGACTTATATTTTGTAAATTTGGCTCCACATACCATATAAAATATAGCTTCAAAATAATATTAAAACTACATGTCTAGTGCAGTGGTAAAACCATCAACTTTTCGAATTCCATGTGCCACATTATATTTCTTTTGAGAAATCTGTGCAATTAGTCCTCACTTTTTAGGCTTTAGCATCTCTAGGAGGCAACAAACAGAAGGTAGGAGTAAACACGATTTGATTTTGATGGTTTTCAACTATTTTAAAATCAAATCGTTTTATTTTTCTAACTAAACTTGCTAATGCTGGCATGGCATAATGCTATGTTCATTACAACTGTCACATTATTTTCATTACCATTTTATTATCGGTAGCTATTACCTGATTTAGACCAATAATAATGTTATTCTAATGTATGCAAGCTTATTATTTGTCATGATATATGATCATATAGCTTAATGGGCTCTCCACATATTACAGTTTAAAAAAGTTTGATCTATTATTATTTCACTTTTCGTCATGAGAATTTGAAGAGGTAGACGGGGCCCTATTTATTTTGTATATGTGCAGTGAAGATATTGTGTTGTATTTCAGGTTGGTTTAGTCCACAGTACAAATAGATGTTGTCGAAATTTTGTTGCATCTTGGAATGTATTCAAGGTAATTTATAAGCCCTCCTCAATTTGAAGTCGACTATATTTCTATGACCATTTGTAAGCTCATACTTGTTAGGGATGGGCTCGTATATTAGAGGCAATTCGTAAATCCTCACTTATTTGGGATCTACTCATATTCATAAGGCAATTGGTAAGTCATCGTCTAATTGAAGATAACTCGCATTTTTGACCCACACCTAAATGTACACCTCAGATATGGTAAACTATTGGCATATAAATAAATTACATGGCATGCACGTCACAAAGAGAGGTTAACATTAGTTGACTAGGCCTCAACAATGTTAATTGGATACAGCCGAGTAAACCTAAGTAACCTCTTCTCGGGCTTGAGCCCGATCCCTAACCCATTTGGCCCTCTCTCTCTCTCTCTCTCTCTCCCCTCTCTCTCTCTCTGTGTGCGCGCATCTGGACTTGAAGGCATGTTCATCTAAACATTTGCCAAATCCCATCTTACACATTTCTCTTGCACTCATTCCATGACCTGTTTTGATAGTTGATTTGACCTTCGAATTGAAAAGGTTGTCAAGTTTTTTTTTTAGGACGGCTCCTTTACACCTTAATGGTTCTTTTCCAATGTGCATGTGATGCCTATATGGAAAAGGATATGGCCTGAATTCTATTATCAGGCCAAATTTTGAGGTCAGCAAAATCAAACCAAATCATATTTTGTGGTTTGATTTGGTTTCAAATCATTGATTTAGCGACACAAAAATAATAGCTTTCAAATAAGTGAAAAAATTAATATATTAATTTCAAATTTCACTAAAACACTTGCATTGAAACCTTTCAAACATAAATGTTGAATGAAGGCTTCCTGGATGCTTGACGCATGACTTCATCCAATAGCTTATTGGTCAAGTTCTATCACGTCACAATGTCATGTCCTAGACATCAATAGGTCTATGACCCCGTATGCTATCTTACGTGGGTAAAAGTAAGTTTGCACTAAATCACCATTTTAATTATTTCTCACATGACTCCAGAAGTAGAATCACCATTTACATAAAGTTTGACCATTGCCCTCCATCGCTTCAGCGATGAAGACCCATGTTATGTCATAAGCATTATGAATCCAAAGTTCACATTGCATTTAATAAATTGCAAATTTCGATTATTCATTTCTTGGATTCTTCAAATTCTCTTTGAATTTATTGGCAATTGACATCTATAAAAATATATGTTAATTGAAAATGCGGGGAAAAAATAAATATATTTTGAAAAAGTAAAATAAAGAGCTTGTTTGAGTGTATCGAAAGTCTTACTATTTAAATTTCAAAATATTTTCTATTATATACGAGATGCTTCTATAATTAAATAAAAAAGACTATTGAAGAGGTTCTTACATGCAACAAACTTGACTCTTAAAACACATTAATAAACTGGGATCAATGTCCCATAAACTTAACTAAAAAATATTAAGCCCCTGTTTGTTTCCCATTATTTACCCATTAAAATAAAAAATATGATCGTTATCCATCACATCAAACCACCATATTTGACTTTCCATCTCTTGTGTAGGGCCCATAAGGCTATATTTTTCATTCTCATTTTTACATTAATGTGTATCAAACGGGGCCTGAGTTTGTACCAGGATAGCATAAATAACTAAATATTACAGAAATTTTATTTATATCACAACTGAACACAAGTCCCACTTATTTATTTTTAACTTCTTACACACACACACACACATACATACTTTAATATATATCTCACAAAGCTCTAGGGACGGGGCAGTGAGGGCCCTCAAGGTTGGGGTTCAACCTTTTTTTATACTATACATATATATAGGTAAAAAGTAGGTGGAACGGGTAGTTTGGAGCTTAATTAAGTTGAGATGCGGTGTCATATGCAACTCCAGCCTTCCAATCCGTAGGAATGGCACGGGTTAATTGTACCAAATTAACTTCATACGGGATGGCATAGTTAATTCTAACGTGAAGAGATCCGATGGGTGGATTTGAAATGTCGAATACCGTTCCATACGCCCTACGCATTGGACTCCATTCCTCGCTATCCTCCTTTGTTCATTATCAGAAACAAGTACAATGTCAGTGATCATTGATAAGAATATTTAGTTGTGCTTAAAAATTACTTTTTTAGAAATTACGTCTTCTACTAGTCAAACAAGTAATTTTGGAAACGTGTTTGACAAAATAAGTAACTTAAAGGTAAGCCCCTAAGAGGTTTAGATGAAAATCAGATTATTAGTAGATTTTTGATAAAAATTGATGCAATATGTAGTTAAAAAGTTTTAGGTTCCATGAAATATGTGGTTAAAATTAATTGTTATTTTTTTACTATGGTTTTAATCTAATTTTTCAGTTGAATCAAGCAGGGACTAAGTTTGACCTACTTTTTAATCTTTAAATAACTTATGGTACTTTAGTACTAATGAAATTCTGTATGCTTACTTTTTAGCTTGTAATATTTGAGAAAAGTATATTGCTTTGGTTGAATGGAGAATGTAATGTAATAGTGACCTATTTTGAAGAATTGAAATTTAGTGGTCTACTTCAAATTGAGACTTCCAATTTGAGGGAAAAAAAAAAAAAAGAACTTCTAATTTGAAGAAGAAGAAAAAAGAACGATTTTAGAAAGTAAATAGAAAATGTTTGTCTAACAGGTAAGTTTCTAAACAAAATATTTCAAAAGAAAAGTAATTTCTTTCAAGTTCAAACATATTTATAAGAAGATTAATGTTATGCATAATGAAGACTATCGATAGTCGTTCTACATGACATACGCATGATATCACTTATAAGAAAAATACCTTTAACGAACTTTTAAACTTTGGAAAACATGATGGCTTAAAAACTTCATGCTCATGACGTAGAAAAAGGAAGAGTTTTGTTAGAGGATATACCAGTCCGATGTCTATACCAGTGATATCAGACATTCCATCTTTGTATATAGGGGCCAGGGCCAAGTAGGAAGGGTAATTGCTATTCTCATGGATTCTTAGCTCAAGGTTGCGATTATAACTACATGGAACTCTCCTGTATTCAATGTCAACTACACCATAAGCAAATAGTTGTGGAGCCATATCGGGTCGAGCCATTTTTTCGTAGCCACGTTTGCTCATTATGAAGTCTGTTCTGCCTCCCGCACCACGATCCGTTACCACGACCTTTGCTCCCTCCTCGCTGCAGTATGTTGGGATTTTGCACTTTACCTAATCGAGTCATTGAATGTTAGGCATCAGCTTATGGGAGAAAATTGAGATACTAATAGCTCCAAACATGGCCCCCAAGAGATTCTATAAAGCAC